CCCCCCCCCCCCCCGACCCCAACCTGCGTGGTCCCCGGGGAGAATCTCTCCTTGAGCTTCGCGGGCCCCTTCACTTCACTCCTGGTTTTACAACTTTTCGCATCGATGGACTCCTACACTGTGTGGTCTTTAGAGACTGGTGCCCATCCTGCTAGCTTATTCTTCTGGTTTAATAAGAATCCTTCTGCAATTGGTCAAGTCAATATTTTATTTAAAAAAAAAAACCTACACACACACACACACGCACACATCCACACAAGCACACACACACACACACACACACACACACACACACACACACAGCTCACGAAGGCAGAGCCGGGAAAGGAGACTGAGATCTCGTCTTTGGCGCCAGGCTGACCACAGAGTGCTTCTCTTCCACAGCCGGCCGCACGTGAAGAAAGAGAGCCGATGCCCAAGCTGATAAATTAGGAGAGGGCTTGGTTTTTACAGGGAGACTTAAGGCAGCGCCACTCCCGCGAGGAGTGGGATTTGTGCAGGAGCATCCAGAAACCTCTCCGTTGTGTTAGGTGTGGGCACCAGTCCCGGAGGCCGTTTGAAAAGCAGGAGGCAGAGACCAGATTTCCCTGGAGCTGCTTTTCTTTCCCGGACGAGGAGAATGTTCTCCGAGGAGAATAGGCCGGAGAGAGGGGTCCGGAGCAGCTCGGGAGCCCAGGAGGGAGTAGAAGGCCCTCCGTGCCCGGGCAGGGCTTTGGCACAGGAACACAGGTTCGGAAGTCTCTCCTGAGGTCACCGGCCCGCGGGTCCTCCTGCCTTCGGGGCCACACGCCCTGCAGGGCCTCCTGCTGCCCGGAGGCCGCGGTGTCCTCAGACGGCTGCATCTTGGGAAGGAAAAGGCAATGTGAGGCCGGCCGGCCAGGGCGGGGCCCACCCAGAAGTCACACACCAGCCGGGTGACCCACGTTCCGCTCGGTGCACTGCCTTCCTCCACCCAGCACCAACTTTCATTGGGATTCTTTTATTCTGTTTAAATGCATCTCTTAAAAAAAAAACGGGCTGCACTTGGGAAGGAAAAGGCAATGTGAGGCCGGCCAGCCAGGGCGGGGCCCACCCAGAAGTCACACACCAGCCGGGTGACCCACGTTCCGCTCGGTGCACTGCCTTCCTCCACCCAGCACCAACTTTCATTGGGATTCTTTTATTCTGTTTAAATGCATCTCTTAAAAAAAAAGTTAAATAGTGCAGAGGGGATTCCCATCCCTATTCCTCCCCACCCCAGGGTGCAACATTTTTTACAGTGTTTTCATCATTCATTTTTGCCCTTACACAGCTTTACAGAGATATCATCCATATGCCATAGAATTCACCCATGGTCTGCACTGTAGTCGCAGAATTGCACGACCATTTTAGAACATTTTCATCACTTCAACAAGAAACCCCATGCCCGTTGGCAGGCAGCCCTTGTCCCACCTCCCCTGAGCCGTGAGCAACCGCGGAGCTTTCTGTCTCTGGATTTGTCTATTCCAGCCGTGTCGCCTCAATGGGACCCTACACTGTGTGGTCTGTGGAGACTGGCACCCTTCCTGTGAGCTTTTTGCCAGTGGCCCTGGGAGGAAAGGGAAGCTCTTTCTGCAGGAAATGTAATGTAAATGCTGCCACGTTTTTCATGCATTTTTTAAAAAAAGAACAAAGAAAGGAAGTGCTAGATCAAAGAAAGAAGAGGATTAATTAAATTAGTGTGTTCAAGCTTTCAGCGATTCTTAAGATAAAAAAAATATTAGGTATGGTATGGGGATATATTTATAAGGATGTTCATTAGAGCGTTTTTTAGTAGCAAAGAATTATATAACAACAACAAAGATAATGCCCCTCACAGGAGACAAGTAAACTGTAGCACAGACATGCAACAGGGTCAGTGTGACCCCATGGAGCCATTAAGAAGGACAGAAGCCCTGGCCAGTGTTGTTCAGTGGGTAGAGTGTTGGCCCACTAACCAAAAGGTCCAGGGTTCAATTCCCATTCAAGGGCATGTCCCTGGGTTGTAGGTTTGATCCCCAGCCCCAGTTGGGGCACATGCAGGAGGCAACCAATTGATGTGTCTCTCTCACATCGATGTTTCTCTCTCTCTCTTTCTCCTCCTCCTCTTCCCTCCCTCCCTTCCACTCTCTCTAAAAAATCAATGGAAAAAAATATACTCAGGCGAGGATTAACAACAAATAATAATAATAAAAAGAATAATTAAAAAAAGATGACAGAAAAGAGCACCTACCAACATGGGGAAAGTGTGTCAAGTAGAAAAAGGTCAGGTTACAAAATAACCCACACCGTTCTGATCCTTTTAATCAAAGCGACATGTATACATATGTATCTCTAGCTCTCTCTCTCTCTCTCTCTCTCTCTCTCCATCTCCATCATCTCCATCTCCATCTCCGTATATTACTCAGAGAGAGGGGATACTGGAAGGAAAGACGCCCAGCACGTGCTATTTCGGGATAGTGTGAGGACAGATGGTTTTTAATAAAAACATTTTGTTCTTATTTGCATTTTCTAAATGTCCCATATTTTCTCTCTGTCATTAGGAAACATGTAAAGAAAATGCTTCTCCATCAGAGGCTGGCACGTCGGGGCATTCCTGGGCGCGGCAGGCACGGGGCCGAGCAGAGGTCCCGGGCACCTGTGCCTCGCGGCCTCCTCTACAGCAGCCTGTGATCTGTTGTGAGGCCCGGAACAGGCTGTGCTCTGGCCCCTGAGTTCACGGAGATCACCTGTGTTCGGACAACCAGCACTCACCTGTGGACTGGGTCACACAAGAGATCTTGTAGGACAGCCACACGCTCGCCAGGCAGAGGAAGGTGGCCACGAAGCCGAAGATCTGCACAGGAGAGAGGGGAGAGGAAGTTCCCGTGTCAAGGGCCAGCCACCCATCCCTGTGCCTGTCCCTGCACTGACTGTGGCGGGGAGGGAGCTCAGGGAATCACTTGACCCAAACCCTGCGTCCTGGCTCAGATGCAGAGACCAGGCCCTGTCCCCAGGGCTCCCAGCTGGGACCCAGGTCTCCACCCCTCCGTCCTCCTCACTCGGGGCAACTTCACACCCATGTTCAGGTTGTTTCAACCGAGCTGGGCCAAGCCTCTGTACTTGAGTTATCCTGGGCTAACAAGAAAGAAAAAGGTGGAATCGTGCATTTTAATTTGGGTTTTAAAATGTATAATGTTCAAATGGATTCTATTGGTGTGATAGCACTGTTTGCATTTCATTCATGATGGTTTCTGTCTGGCTTCATAGCTGGGTGAGAGCCAGGAGCTGAGGCTTTGCTATCTAGCCTTACGTTTGCACATCCAATATAATAAAAGGCTAATATGCAAATTGTCCCCTCGACCGGGAGTTTGACCAGGGGGTGGGGCCGGCCAGCCCACTGCCCATGGCCCCTCCCTTCCACCAGCCTGGCCTGATGGCCCCCATAGGACCTCACCTGTGCATGAATTCGTGCACTGGGCCTCTAGTATTTAAATAACATTGGACTAAAATACGTTCAGGCAGTGAGTGCTCCTTTAGTTTCTGAGGGTCCACCCAGTGCTCAACTGTGGGGCCCTCACCCCGTCCAACCTCCTCATCTGTGGATGGGGGACGGGGTGCCCAGACAGGAAAAGGGCCTTGCCTGGGGTTCATCAAACGGGCAAGCGAGAAGCAGGCACACACTCTGGTGTCTGGCATGGAACTGCGAAGCCTGAAGCCATTTTCCTCACTTGTGAACAAATCTGGCAGCTGCAGCTAGTTTATGGGGCACTTACTCTGCACCCACCAGTCTTCTAACTCTGCCAGGTGGGTCCTGGTGTGACCCTCTCAGCCCCTCACTTTGCAGCTGAAGAAATGGAGGGTCAGGGGGTCAATGAATTGCCCGGGGCCACGGAGACAGCAAGGGCCCGACCTGGGACTGGAGCCCAGGGAGCCTGGCTCCAGAGTCCACACTCCGCTCTCCCTGTGGCCCAGCTGACCTCAGGCTGGCAAAGAGCCCCAGGCTCACTATGCTGCCACCAGGTGCCCTCAGAAACCACTGCTGCCGTCCAGGAGGGGCCCAGGGGAAGGGCAGGATCTTCAAGGCTGGGCTTTCTCTTCAAGCCTGGCTGCTGGTTTGCATAAGGGGCTGCCCGAAAAAAAAACCTCTCCCCTCCCCCCAGCTGGCTCCTTTTGTACCGACTGTCTGCACCACATAATCAGCCTGTTCGAGCCTGTTCCGGCCTCTCATTGTCTGTTCTGCACAATTAGCACATTATACACCGTCCTGGTCTCCAACTGTCTGCACTGCATAATGGAACAGCTTCTTCATTATGGCCACATAATGCCCTTCCGGATGGCAATGCCTTGTTTGCGAAATGTACCACGCGCCTTGGCCCTGACTCCTGAGTTGGATCACCACTCTCCCATAAGCAAGGACCCTATCTTTTTATTTCTTCCGGCTCCTCCACGGAACCAGGCCTGGTCCAGGCACAGAGATGGTGTATAATAAATGGGATTCCAGGGCTCACACCATTCTGTGCCACCTGAATCATAAAACCCAGTGGGCCTCTCCCCATGTGGGCCTGAAGCACAGTGGGCACAACTTTTCTTCGTGCCCCTCCACCGGCCTGTCTGCAGGTGGAACCCTGTGGGTGGCAACCACACCTCTCCTTGGAGCCTGCAGGGAGGGGGTTCTGAGGGGTGCAAGGTGGTGGAGGGGAGGGAGGGCTGTGGGTGGCACCTAAGGGGCATGAGTGTTCGGAGGAGTGACCTTCTGCCCCATGCCGACCTTTAGAGGGCAGGCTCCACCCCTCGGTGGAATTCCAGGTGTGAACCCACTCTTGGCCCAAAGCCTCGGGGATTTTGGTAAAGTCTGCACATGAAAGAGTAGCTGTCACACAGACAGCTTTGCCTAAAACTCATTTTAAAAGTCTTACTCCTTAGTGAGGCAAATCGGTACTGGCCCACAGGCCACCAAACGGAAAAGAATTCGCTAAATCAGAAATCATATGACAGGAATCTATAAATCTTTAAAATAATGGCATACACATATGTATATATGCGTGTGTATTTGTGTGGTAGGTATAAATGGATCCCACAGCACTGCAGTTTTGTACATTTCCATGCTACTTCTGTTCAGGCTATCAGAGGGGTCAATTTCACCTTTGAAAGGAATAGGAGGATTCCTTCCTGGCCTGAATGTGGCTAAAAGTTAGGACTGATAAAGCTAGGACGGATGGCCGACGTCACCAGCAGATCACAGCGCTGTTCCCTTGGGCCCAAGAGGCTCCAGAATATTTCCCCGCACGGGGACGAGGCAGCCACGAGCCAATGACCACAATGGACACGTGATTTCAAATCCACTTGCCGCCCGATGTAAGTGGCGGCTGCAAGAGAGAGGCCCGGGCCGCTGGGGCCATTTGTTTGCCAACAGCCCTGATGATTCACCTCCTGAGACCCTCCGTTTAAGCCTCTTTGGGGACCGGGCTGGCTGGATCAAGGTGGGTACCGATCCTGAGAAAGACCCCAGAAAACAATCCCTCCGCTGTCCCGTCAAGAAGAAAACGAGCCCGGAAAGCATGGACTCATTGCGAAGGCGCCCAGAGGAGATCCTCACCGAGGCGGCTACCAGCTCGCTCTGGCTGTAACTCTTGGAGGCGGCCACGATGGAGGCGATGAGGAGGAGCAGGGTGCCGATTAAATAGTGCAGAAGTTCCTGGGGGCAAAAACAAAGCAGAGCCGTGGGTCGGAGGTCCGCTCCTGGCGCCGAGAGGAAACCGGGGGTCAGGAGAGATGAACAGAAGAGGAGGGAGTGTAGCACCCCGACAGGAGCAGCGCTGATCACGGCCAACAGATGCGTAAGGTGGTCAGGATGATGCGTGAGGCTGGCCAGGATGGGGCCGAGCAAGAGAGAAAGGATGCCAGGCAGGCAGGGAGGAAGGAAGGGGACAGGAAGAAAGGGCATTTCCTGGGTGAGGACAGAAATCCACCAAAGGCTGCTCCACTCCTGAGATCAACCTGTAGACGGTACCTTGACCTCCGGCCCCCGAGCCTCTCCCAGCACCCAGGCTGGAGAGTTTAAGCAAAGCTCCAGCCCCGAGAAGCGAGGCCCCTTAAAGAGATGGGTGCCCTGCCCTGGCTGGTGTGGCTCAGTGGATAGAGCACTGGCCTGCGGACTGAGGGGCCGGTTCCGGTCAGGGGCACATGCCCAGGTTGTGGACTCGATCCCCAGTGGGGGGAGGCAGCCGATCAATGGTTCTCTGTTTTTCTCTATGTTTCTATCTCTCCCTCTCCCTTTATCTCTGAGATCAATGGGAATATATTAAAAAAAAAGAGAGAGAGAGAGAGAGATGGGTGCCTTTCGCTTCTGCCTCGGGAATATATTAAAAAAAAAAGAGAGAGAGAGAGATGGGTGCCTTTCGCTTCTGCCTCAGAGAAGGCTTTGGGCTCACTGAGATGGCTCTGGTGGTGCCTGCCCTGTGAGCCGTTTTTTAGTTGTGGACTTGACAGGTGCTTGGCCCCCTCCGACCCGGAGTGAGAGCCTGGAGTGTGGTCCCGGCCCTTTGGCGAAGCGCCCGGGCGTGTGGTGGGCGCCGGCGTTCTCATTCCTAAGCCCGCCTGGTTTCGTCTGCATTTTGTCTTCCCTCTTCTCTTCTCCCCAGAAGTGCACCTGAGGCCAAGCTCTGCGGGTAAGTCTCCTGGTGGGACTGACTCCGCCTTTGCTCCGCCCCCGGGTGGGTCCGCAGGGCTGTCCGTTGCCGTCCCACTCACTCTCCAGGATTAGGATGTCATTCAGCAGCATGGAAGCACTCCCACCTCCTTCTCCTTCCTCCCCAGTAAATACCAGGTCAGAGCAGGACTGGGGTTCAAGGCCATTCGTAATGCTCACTCTGAACCCAGAGCGTATGCATGTGCAGTCTCCAGCGAGAGTTCGGAGAAGATTCCTTCGTGAAGTTCTGCCCATCAGGGCAGGTGGCTGTTCAATGTTGGGCAAGCATCCCACTTTCAGGCTGCAGCTCCTGTCAAAGCCGTGCAAAATCGAAGACCCTGACTTCTCCCCGAGCGACGAGAAAGGAGTATCGCAAGGTGGACCACAGAGATTTTGACCAAGAGCAGATTAAACAGGAGGTTCCCTAAGCCAAGATTCTCTGGGGGAAATGACTTGAGAGACAGGGTCCTAAGGGAAGGTGCCAACATGTTCTGGGCTAAAAAACTGTGTGGCTGAATGTATCCTTCCAACATTCACGCCCCTTTCAGCCCTCCCTCATTCTCCCCCCACAGCCTTTACTCTCTCCTTTGCTTGTTCCTTGTGAGTATCAGGGAAGCCCAGAGGAGCTTGCTCTCAAAAGCAGCAAAAAGGTGCCACAACTTTGAAAGGGGCCTTACAACTTAGCAACATAAAAGGAATTTCTCTTAAAATGTGAATGATTAAACAATTCAACCAAGAAGCAGAGGTTGTCAGACTAGATTTAAAAAAAAAAAATCCAACTACGTGCTTTCTATAGGAGACACACTTTATATTCAAAGACACAAATAGGTTGAAAGTAGAAGGATGGAAAAGACGTGTCATTCAAATAGCAACCAAAAGAAAGCTGGAGTGGCTATAGTTGTATCAGACAAAGTAGATTTTAAAACAAAAAACGTTACCAAAGATTAAAAGGGACATTTTATAATGATGGACATGTCAATTCGTCAGGAGAATATAACAATTATAAACATGTATGCACCTAATAACAGAGCAACAAAATACATGAAACAAAAACTCAAATAAATGAAGGGAGAAATAGATAATTCAAAAATAATAGCTGGAGGCTCCAATATCACATAATGTTTAGAACAACTAGGGAGAAAATCAACAAGGAAACAGAAGGCTCAAACAATACTATCAAACAACTAGACGTAACAGGCATCTATGAAACATTCTATCCAACAACAGTAGAATATACGTTCTTCTCAAACGCACATAAAACATTCTTCAGCATAGACCGTAGGCCAGCGGTTCTCAACCAGTGGGTCTCGACCCCTTTGGGGGTCGAACGACCTTTTCACAGGGGTCTCCTAAGACCATCGGAAAACACATATATAATTACATATTGTTTTTGTGATTAATCACTATGCTTTAATTATGTTCAATTTGTAACAATGAAATTGGGGGTCGCCACAACATGAGGAACTGTATTAAAGGGTCGCGGCATTAGGAAGGTTGAGAACTACTGCCGTAGACCATATGCCAAACCATAAAAACAACCCCAATAGATATAAAAGGACTGAAATAATGTGAGGTGTGTTCTCCAACTACTACAGAATAAAATTAGAAATCAATAGCAGATAGAAATTTGGGAAACTCACAAATTTGTAGAAATTAACACATTCCCTAACTAATTAATGGGTCAAAGAAGAAATCACAAGGGAAATTAGAAAAATTCTTGGAGATGAATGAAAATGAACACCCAATACACCCAAATTATGGGAAGCAACTAAAGCAGTGCTCAGAGAGGTGTCTATAGCTGTAAATGGAAAAAGAAGAAAGGTTTCATATTCATAACCTAACCTTCACCTTAAGACACTGGAAAAGACGAGCACAGTAAACCTAAAGCAAGAAGAAAGTCGGAAAATAGCCAGTGCTGACAGGATGTAGAAAAACCTGGAACCCGAATACATTGCTGATGGGAATGTAAACGGATGTGCCACTTTGGAAAAACAGTCTGGCAGGTCCTCAGACAATTAAACATAGTGACCATGTGACCCAGCAATTCCACTCTGAGTTAGAGTCCCAAGTGAGTGAAATCATGTCCATACAAAAAACTTGCACATGAATGTTCATAGCAGCAGTATTTGTAATAGCCAAAAGGTGGAAACAGCCCAAATGCCCATCAGGGATGAACAGATGTGGTATATCTGTTCAATGGAACACTACTTGGCTATTATGAAGAGGAAAAAAAGTACTGACACACAATACAACTTAGATAAACCATGAAAACACTCTGCTAAGTGAAAGAAGCCAGTCACAGAAGACCATATATATGATTCCATTTACATGAAATATCCAGAATAGGAAAATTTAGAGAGACAGAAAGTACATTAGTGGCTGGTCAGGGCTGGAGGGGATGAGGGGTTGATGGTGACAGTGAAAGGGCATGGAGTTCCTTTCTGAGGTGATGAAATGTTCTAAAATGGATTGTGGTGATGGTTGCACAGCTCTGGGAATATACTAAAACCCACTGAATTATACACTTTAAATGGGTAACTGTATGGCATGTGAACTATCAATAAAGCTGTTTTAAAAAATAATATAGTGGGAAGAGAAAACCCTGGCAACTTTGAACTCTTTCCTCAGACTCTGCCGGTCCATTTTAGCTGACAAATGTTATCATCCAATACTCACAAGGGTACAAATACCCATCACCTTTGTCAGCTTCTTCCTTCCATGTTCCTCCTCCCAACTCCCCCACACAGCCCATTATCTGTCACTTGAGAGGATAAACATTGGGGTGAGAGGCCGAGTTTTCCCGTGGCTGGAAGGTGAGTGTTAGAAGCAGCGGGACATCAGACAAGCAGAGATGTCCACCAAACAGTGGGAAATTCAGGGCTGAAGCAGCAAAGGATGGTGCAAGAGGTGGGGTGGGCAGACGAGAGGGCTCCAGGGGGTCTCAGTGCCCAGCTAACACCCTGACTTCCGGGCTGAGGGCAGGGCCAGGCCACTCCCTTACCGACAGGGGCCAGCTGATGCAGGTGAGCACGCGGTAGAGGCGGAAGAGGTGGACCAGGTAGAAGGCGAGGATCATGATCAAGTTGCAGATGGTGACCACTTCGAAGTATCTGTAGGCGCTCTGGCTGATCCACGGAGAGCTCCTCACGCAGATGAAGGCGATCAGCAGGCTGACCTGAGACATAAGCACAGACACACCTCAGAGAAATGCCACCAGGACGGGTGCCCAGGAACAAACGGCAACAGCGTAACAGAAACACGAACAACCACCGAAAATCGAGGAACTGCTGCAATTCAGGATGTTTTCCTACAAATAGGCTGGATGGGTACAATTTCCTGCAGTTCAAGCCTTTAAACTCTCTTTTTGTTGTTGATGCTCACCAGAGGATATTTTTCCATTTGTGTTTTTTTTTCCGAGAGTGGGAGAGGGAGAGACAGAGAGAGAAACATCGATGTGTGACACATTGATTGATTGCCTCCCGCATGTGTCCCAAGCAGGACCGGGGATTGAGCCTGCACAGAGGTACATGCCGTTGACCGGAATTGAACCCGGACTCTTCAGTCCGCAGGCTCCATCCACTGAGCCAAACCGGCTAGGGCAGGATCTGTTCTAAAAGGACAACTAATTTAGGACAAAATTTATTTTATGTTGCCCCTTCCCTACAGAACGGTGATTCTCAGAGGGTGTGTGCGTGGGGGGGAGCGGGGTGTGTCCTTTGGTGATGTCTGGAGACATTTTTGGCTGTCCCAGCCGTGGTGGGGGGTGCTATCGGCATCGCGTGGTACAGGCATGGGTGCTGCCAACCAGCCCACAATGCACAGGATGGTCCCCTGTCTCCTTTGTGGCCCAGACGGTTGTGCTGCTGTGGAGAACCGGCTGGAGGACATGGGAGTCTGTAGAGAGAATCAAACCACAAAAACGGATCTAACGCCGGTAAAGCGGTCAAGGCTAAAAACGCTTGCTTCCTGAAGCCCCTCAAAACACACGCTCCCCAGGCCCTCGGGACAGGCACAGCGGCCAGAGGGCCCCCTGGGCTTGCAGCCTACGGTGCACACGAAGAAGGCTCTGCTCAACAGATCAATGCAGAAGAGCGTGACCGACGAGAAGGGACCCTCCACACTGGCCTGGTTCCCTTTGCTAATGAGCAACGTATTTTCATGTTCTCGGTTCCTCTCCGGCCGGCCAGCCAGCCATGGTAACAGAATGATTCACACCTTGAGGTTGTTCCACGGCCGAGGGGAGGCTTGCCTGCCTCTGGAGCGTGCGTGCTGGCCAGTGCTCGGCTGCGTGGGTCCCCACGCCCAGATCTCCTCTACCTCTCAGTCCGACACCGACCCCCTCGGGGCCGGGGCGGTTTAGTTCAAGGCCCGCCTTACATAATGCACACAACCCAGGAGGCAGGCAGTGCATTCCCGGTGAAGAAGCAGTTCTGCACCAAATTTAACGCAAGGATTAGAATAATTCTTACAACCTTTCATCCGTGACACTAGCTCTTTCTTGTGGTCACACAGAGATGTGTGGGGTTTCCCAGTGACCAAAAGGGGCCCGGGCAGGTCTCCCCCGAGCTCCCAGGCTGAGAGCACATCGCTGCCCCACCACAGCCCCTCAACCCTCCCTGGGCAACTCGCTGTGAAACGAGACTTCCTGAACTCTGTCCACCCACTGGGCTTGAGTCCGCCTACTACGACCTCTGCTTTAGGCAAGCCCAATGCCGGAAAGTCTCATTTAGACAGCAGAGGCTGTGCACGCAGGCAAGCTGCTGGAAGCTTCCTTTCTGCCCAAGGGTTCTCCCACTCCTAGTTTAGAGAGCCAGCATCTCAGCTAGTGCACGTGACCAAAAAAAAAAAAAAAAGAGTTGATTGATAGCGATCTTTTCAGGAATTCTTCTAAGGCCAGTGGGTGGCCTCTGCAGAGGCTGGAGGCCCGGAATCAGTCAGATCCATGCCCAGGCGGCCACCAGGAAGGAGAAGCATAAGAAGCGACAAAGCAATGGCGGAGAAAAAGGCCCTGGGGTGTTGGTCCCCGACCCCCCGCTGACCCTCTCAGGACCTCTTCTTGTTCCCTGTTAGAAAAGCAAGTCCACAAACACGTCTGAATTCAGGGATGAGTAGGAGTTCTGAGCTCAGGATGGAGTGAAGGAGTGCCCCCGGCTCCTTTCGTCCAGGTTTTGTTGGTAATCCTCACCCGAGAATATTTTTTCCATTGATTTTTTTTTTAAGAGAGAGTGGAAGGGAGGGGAGAGAGATAGAAACACCGAGGTGAGAGAGACACACAGATTGGTTGCCTCCCAGACACGCCTGGACGGGCCGGGGAACGAACCTGCAACCCAGGTACATGCCCTTGACCGGGTATTGAACCCCGGACCCTGAGGTGCTCGGGCTGACACTCTAACCACTGAGCCACACAAGCCAGGGCTCATCAAGGTTTGTTCTTCTATATTGAACTGTCATGGGCACTGAAAATAAAGTATCTAACATAAATGTCCATTAAAAGCAATGTTGCAAGGACCCTCAGCTTAGGGTCTCACAAACCAGCCCCATCGCCTCAGATTAGAAACCAGCCCTTTTGCTCCAAACCGTGTCCCTTCTGACTCCATACGGTCAGAAGAGACGATTTTTGTGAAAGTAGCCGTGGGTTTCAATTTCACAGGAGATGAAGCCGGCCTGAGAGACACAACTGTCCCCTGAGAACTCGGGAACTCAGACAAGCTGGTCCTAACTCCTCAGCCAGGCGCCCGACAGCCTGGCCAGGTTCTCGGCCGGGTGGTGTCCCCAAAATACCCCGCAACGCCATACTGAAGACTTTGAATGAAGGTTACTTGACAGGCAGCCGGTGCCAGAGGGCACCTCGACCCTCCCTCGTCTCCCTGAGTGCAGGAACTACGTCTCCCCCGTGACAGGTGCCTCCTGCCCCAGCCGGGCCGAGAGAGACCACCTTGGGACTGGAGCTGAGAGATCCTGAGCCAAAGGCTCACAGAACACTTCAGTTTTTGTTTTGTTTTTAAAATATATTTTATTGATTTTTTACAGAGAGGAAGGGAGAGGGATAGAGAGTTAGAAACATCGATCAGCTGCCTCCTGCACACCTCCCACTGGGGATGTGCTCGCAACCAAGGTACATGCCCTTGACCGGAATCGAACCTGGGACCCTTCAGTCCGCAGGCCGACGCTCTATCCACAGAGCCAAACCGGTCAGGGCAGAACACTTCAGTTTTATAAAAAGGTTCCATCACTGAGCCTCAGTTTGCAATCCGCGCATCTTATTATGATTCTCTCGTGCGCACGTTCTAAACTGGCGTTTCTCCTGTTGGTCTAATCTCAGCCTGAGGAAGAAATGGAATTTTGAAGGCTAGCCGGACAACTTTTGGAGAAGACTCAAGAGGTACGTTCTGGAGATGCCTTCTTCTGAGCTGGACAGCAGAGGCCTGGGGTGGACTCGGGGCCCCTGCCGCCTGCAGCCTGAGCCCTCAGCAGGCCTGGCCCCTCCATGCCCCTGTCTGGTCTGGTCCACTGAGCATGCCTGTGTCTGGCTGAAGCTGGCACTGGACACCTTTTGTTTTAAGAGCCCTGGGCTGGATTCTGGCAGGTCACTGACCACATCGTTTCCCCGTTTTTTAGTCTGACCTTGGAATACTGTGTCAGTGAGAGAGACAGGCAGGAGGAGAGGAAGTAACGGATGAAAGGTAACATCAGAACATCTCAGGCCGGCCCGGGGCCTGGTCGCACCAAAGGGTCTCGGGTTCGATTCCCAGCCAAGGGATGTACCTGGGTTGCAGGTTTAATCCCTGGCCCCGTCGTGTGTGTGTGGGAGGCAACCAATTGATGCCTCTCTCTCTCTCTTCTCTCTCTCTCTTCTTTCTCTCTCTCTCTCTCTCTCTCTCTCTCTCTCTCTCTCTTCCTCTCTCTCTCTCTCTCTCCCACTCTGAATGGAAAAATATCCTCGGGTGAGGATTAACAAACAAAAAAGTCTCAGGCCCAACTCCAAGAGGCTTTTCTGCAAAAGCCCGGGAGAGGAAAGCCAGGCGTGTTCACACGTCAGAGACGTGGACGATGAGACTCGGGGTGGAAAGGGCATGGAGACGGAAGCAGGCCCACAGGTGACTCTGCCTGGCAGTGGGCAGGCAGAAAGAGGAATGCACACTGTCCCCACCTTTGGCTGAATTCTGCCCTGGGGGGGGGTAGGCAAATTTACCCCTGCCTTCCTGGTAAAGCCCCCACGAGTCATCACTAGGAAACAGCCCTGGTACCATCTCATCAACACCCACGGGGAGAGAACCTCACCCTGGCTTACTTCCTCTGGGCCCCTGTCTCACTCACCAACATCAGACTTTTGCTACACAGGCTTCTTCCCACCCCCTCACGCTCAGCACACAGTTCTGTTCTGTATTCAAATATAAAAATGCCATAGAAAACCCAAGGGAGGCCCTAGCTGGTTTGGCTCAGTGGATAGAGCATCAGCCTGCGGACTGAAGGGGCCCGGGTTCGATTCCAGTCAAGGGCACATGTCTGGGTTGTGGGCTCGATCCCCAGTGAGGGGCGTGCAGGAGGCAGCTGATCCACGATTCTCCCTCATCATTGATGTTTCTATCTCTCTCCCCCTCTCCCTTCCTCTCTGGAATCAATAAAAATATTTTAAAAAAAAAAAAAAAAAAAGAAAGAAAGAAAACCCAAAGGGGGGGGAATAACGGAGGGAACATTCTGCCAGGGGTCTTGGGGTCCAGGCCTCGAGCAGCCGGGTAATGTACTCGTTTCTGAATGGAACCAGAGTCACCTGCAGTAAACGAAAACACCGGAGCCGGTGTGTGTCCTGCTGGGAACCTTACCGGAAGGCCACGGAAGAAGCTGCGGACAGTGGTTGCTTCTGGGGAGGAGAATGATTTAGTGGTTTAGAAAATGCGCTTCTTTTGTTCTCCTGTGTTATAAAGATCACAGATTAAGTTGTAAAATAGCATTTTTTAAGGACCTGTCTCGGGGATCTTTCATGGCACATATATGCAGATCTACCCTTTTCTTTTAATTGGCTGCAGCTTTATCTGACCTGGGGTTTCTCAGCCTTAGCACTGGTGACATTTGGGGCCATCTTATAGGACTTTTAGCAGCCAATAGTGACAACCAAAAATGTCTCCGGATCTTTTCAAAGGTCCTCTGGGCGAGAACCACTGCTTTAGACAGCCTCTTATTAAC